ACATAATATCTATGTCAAAACTCATTGAAAGGTGTAGGTTATCCCTACCTCAAAAGAAGAGACCCAATGGAGATGATGAAGAAAACTCGAGATGCTTCAAACCCAATGATTTTCGGATCAAAATGAAGGCCACGCCAAGCTCCACACTTTTCACAAAGGGACAAGGGTGGAAGATCACTAGAGTTAGATGATTTCGTAGAGAGAAGATGTATTCTAGAGAGAGGAACTCTCAAATAAGGGTTTTGGAAAGTTAGAGAGAGAGGGAGTGTCGAAAAAGTGATTTAAAATGACACAGTCGCGATCTGATATACGTATAGTCCGCTCGAGCGGAGAATAAGACGCTCGAGCATACGACACAAAAATTTTACCCGCTCGAGCGCAAATATACCCGCTCGAGCTCCAAGGCACAACAGCAAAGCACTACCTGCTCTAGCACAAAGATACCCGCTCGAGCGTAGAATACACTCCCCCAGTACTTTTATAGACTCCAGACACCCGCTCGAGCGCAAAAACCCGCTCGAGCGTGAGGAACTCCGCTCGAGCGTGAAAGACACTTCTGCAGTACATTTGCAGACGCACAAAATGCTGAAAGGATGCAAACTCCGCTCGAGCGCAAAAAGACCCGCTCGGGCGGATCATCAAAAACCTGGGCAACAAGATTAAAGACTAAAACTCAACCAACCTGTTACAAACCTACCCAACACATCCTAAAACTCGAACACAAAGAATTAAGGGACAGAAATGAAACATATGCAACAACCGACATCCAAGGAACCGAGTCCAGAATGCAACAACCAATGGAGGGAAAACCGGGATCGCTATAGTTGATCCATCATCTGAACCATATCTACAGATTTTGAAATATTTCATCTGCATCCATCCAGCGAAAGACACGCTTCTGTTTAAAATCAGTCGGGTTGGGTCGAGGTGAGCGGGTTGGATGGATCCATAATCACCCCTACTAAAAATGGATTTGTTAGAAACATTTTAAAAATTGTTGCTAAAAGTCTTCTTTTTTTTTTGACTTTTCAGAATGACCTTTTAGCAACTATACTCGCAATGACTGGAATTGGTCTGCAAATATTTTTTGTAAGAAAATTTTCAAGGTGAAAATTTTAATACCTAAAACTCTTATTTGTTGTGTTAGGTTTTTGTAATTGACAATCCTATTGGACAAAACTCTTTCCAGTTGTATTTTTATTCACTCTATAACATTTGTGAGTTATGAGAGTATAGATGTGAATCCAACCCAAGTTGTGCCTGAGTAGAGGAGTTTGTGCTCACATTCCGTATTTTGTTTTGCGCTCTCCTTGTTTTCCTCTTCGCTGACTAAGTACGAGGATTAAGCTGACTGGTCAACTTGCAGGGATCCAGGGGGCAGCACCCAAGTATGGTCGAGGGGCAGCACCCCTGAAGCCATGAAAGAAGTCAAAGTTGATTAACCACTCAAGCAGTCTTTTGTGAGCTTGAGCGTTGAAGTGGTCCATTCAGTATCTCTGCATGTGTTTTGAACTTTGGGGAAGCAACTTTTATCGCTCGAGCAATGGATGTTGCGCTCAAGCGGTTGGCTTATATGTGAGCACCGCCTTTAGTTACATCGCTTAAGTAGTAAAGTGAGCGCTCGAGTGGTCTTCTTCTCTTTAGTATAAAGTGCGTTATTTGCTACTTTTGGGATTGAATCCGTCCAGATTCTCAGAGAGGAGTAAAATATAAAGTGTTCTATCTTAGAAGGTGTTTATATATGAGTTTCCTTAATCTATAGAAGGTGATTGATTGATTAACGAACTACATATTAACAAACATCAATGGTTGGTTTTGTTCTTTCATTCACAAAAAGATGGAGGTATTCATCGGTGGATTCTGGGAAATATGGATCAAAAGTTTTGATGGATTTCGAAGTGACTTATCGTCGTAGATTCGACATCGGCGTTGTGGATTCAACGTTGGGTAAAGCTATTCTGAGGTGAAGATGGTAGTGAAAGAAGACCATCAGGTTTGGTTCAATTCAGGTACGAATTCGTTAGGTAATTGAGAGTTGTCGTGTGTAATTTTTTTTTTTTTTTTGGTCTTCTTAGTAGATTGTTCTGTAATTTTGGCTCGTGATTTTTTTTCACGTTAAATCGTTGTATCGATTTGTTATTAACTATTTAATTAGGATTACTATTCATTATTTAAAATTAAATTATAATCACAAATCAATATCCGAAGAGTTTTTTAAATTTTCATGTTGTAATGAGATCTCATAGATGGGATTACAAGTACGTGGTCCTCCTACCTCTTACATCAAAAGTCATGGGTTCCAATTTTTTTTACTTTTTATTTTTTTTAAAATTTGTCTTGTTTTTAGTTTTTTCATTCTTAAAGAGTAAAAAAAATTAAAAAAAATAAAAAAATAAAATTGCTAAAGACAAGAAAAGTGTTACTTTTTTTTAGTGGACTTTTTCCATACTTTTATTGTTTTTTTTTTTTTTTTTTGGAAAATTATCGCCTTCCGGCCCTCAAAACTTTCACACATTTTTTAATTTGACCCATAAACTTCAATTAATATTAATTTTACACCCAAATTTTTAAAATTTGATCAATTTGACCCTTGCCATCACATTCCATCTACAATTGGACGGAATGTGCTAACGTGAGGGGGGCAAATTGATTTTTAAGGTATAGTTTAGGGGACAAATTGATTTTAATTTAGGGGAAATTTTGATTTTTAAGGTATAGTTTGGGAGGTAAAATGAAATTTCAAATGAACTTTGGTGCCACGTCAGCACATTCCGTCTAATTGTAGATGGAATATGATGGCAGGGATCAAATTGATCAAAATTTTGAAAACCTAGGTGTAAAATTGATATTAATCAAAGTCTGGGAGTCAAATTGAAAACCACGTGAAAGTTTAAAAGGCAAAATGATATTTTCTCTCTTTTTTTTTATTTAAATTCTTTTCTAGCCTCCGTGGTCAACTAGAACTTAAAAGTGTAAAAAACTTTTTGAAAAAAATTATTAAAAAAATAATAATAACTAAAAAAAGGCTAAGGTAAATTGAGCATAATTACACTAACATCCCTTTTACTAAGTGTAACTGGACCAATACTAATGCAGATTAAGTAAAATCAAGAAGATAAATGGGGGACTTATGTACAGGTCGCAATAGGTAGACTTATTGCCTAATAGGTCATGTGATAATAAGAGATATTTTTTTACCAAATACCGACAAAAACGTCACTACTTGTTAGTTTTTAGTGACAGTTTAAATTATTTTTTTTACATAAAACGTCACTAATTGTAAGTTTGAGCGACAGTTTAAATTTTTTTTTACAGATTAACGTTACTAATTGTCAGTTTTTAGCAACAGATTCAAAAAATCATCACAATTTTTTTTTTAAGTGATGATTCTTATGAAATTAACTTTCATTGACGAATTAAGTCCAGCTATTACTACCTACTAATTTACCGAAGATGGATAAGATTAACTATAGTCTTACATTTTAATATAAAAGAGATGATAATATATAACATTATTTTTCCGTTCATATGACTTACGGATTTATAATAAAAATAGGTTAACTAATATATGAATTAAAATGTTAAAAAAATTTAATATAATTATGTCAAATTTATAAAAGTTATTATATATACTTTTAAATTTTAAAGAAATAATATATATATATATATATATATATATTTAACTAACGTCCAACGAATTCTCGGGTGCAAATTGCAAATTAATTTTTAATTTTTAATTTTTCTTTTCTATCAACTTGACTATAAGTGAGATTGTACATTGTTTTCTACATTAGACTTCACTTTTCAACCCTTCATATAAATGTGTAGACTATAGACTTTTCAACCCTCATATAAATGGGTAGACTTGTCTTTTAACCACACATTTTTTAGAAGGGAGATGTGTGGGAGCATCTATTTACACACACCACTCTCTCTCTATACACATCCTTCACACACAACTTCCCAACACTCTCATTAAGTGTGTGAGAAGAGGGGATATGGTGTGTGCATATAGAAGCTCCCTAGGAGATGTGCATTGTTTTCTATAGTACACTTGACTTTTCAACCCTCATATAAATGTGTGGACTTGTCTTTTAACCACACATTTTTTTGAAAGGGAGATTGTGCATTGTTTTCTATAGTGCACTTGACTTTTCAACCCTCATACAAATGTGTAGACTTGTCTTTTAACCACACATTTTTTTGAAGGGTTAACTTTAACATCTCTTGGATGAAAAATGTCAGAGATTTAAAAAAATTTAATAAATTTTTAAAGATTTTTAGCATTATTTTTTGTGGAATGGTGGTTGAATAGCGACCACAAATCAAACTGTGTTAAACGTTCAATTTCTTAGCCACCACTTGGATAAGTATATGGGTGGGTCTTGATATAATTCAAAATTCTATATATTCATATTCTCTCAAATTTGATTTGATTTGATTTGATTTTTTAATTTTTAATTTTTCTTTTCTAAATTAGACTTGACTATGAACCCTCATATAAATGTGTAGACTTGTCTTTAACCACACATTTTTCGGAAGGGCTAGCTTTAATATTTTGTGGACTAGTGGCTGAGAGAACTCGTCAAAGTTCAATTGCTTAGCCACCATTCTAAGAAGTATTAGGGTGGGTTTTGATATAATTCGAAATTCTACTATCCATATTCTCTTTTTAGGAGTACATATTTTTTATCATGATATTTTGTATTTTTTTTTTTTTTTACAAAGTTATAAAGTGATTATATTAAAATAAAAATAAAAAAAACCACACATTTTTTAGAAGGCAGATGTGCATTGTTTTCTACAGTACACTTGACTTTTCAACCCTCGTATAAATGTGTGGACTTGTCTTTTAACCACACATTTTTTTGAAAGGGAGATTATGCATTGTTTTCTATAGTGCACTTGACTTTTCAACCCTCATACAAATGTGTAGACTTGTCTTTTGTAACGCCCCAAAATGATACAATGAAGACAGCTTATATGCAGAATAAATATGGGAAACAACATACTTTCATACATCAGAGTTCACTGTTTAACAACCAATTAAATGTCATGTAGGTTTACATATTCCCAAGTTATTGCTTGGTTACACAAATTGAGTATCACTCATTACATCTTAAGCCCTTGGCTTTACAAATAACAAACATACACACATAAGGCATAAATAAGAAGCTCTTACTTCCCGAAAGTCAACTCATGCTATTGCCTTGGAGGAAATATCTCACCTGCACCTGAAAATGATATTCTCGTATAGGGTGAGCCAACAGCCCAGTAGAGATAATCTAATATAATATATGAGGTTTAACAAAGTTATAAGTACCACATACATAAACGATACCGATACTAAAACACCCATATGCCATTAAGACCTAACCTCATTCCATTTTTCTTCAATTCATCTTCAGTTTATATATGCTACTCAATTCATGAGTTAAATTCATTATCTATCAACAACCAAAATGAGACTACAACTCCATGGTTCTCCAACTATGTGAAACACACATAAACACTTCAAACTTGCCATTTTACGGATATTTCGTCCAAAGGAATCGGCACCCATTTATATATGAAATTTCGGGTCTTTCACCCAGGATACTCTGGCCAACTTGCTTTAAAATGGAGTCCATCCCTTTTCTCCTCCAAAACAAATATACATATGCAATGTATTTATAAACATAATCACATATGGAGTACATCCCCTTTCTCCTCCCAATAAACATACATATACAATGTATTTATAACATCGTCATATTCAATGACACCAACAATGGATTAGCATTAAATCGCCTAATCCTCATGCAATTTCTATAACAATCATAGCTATCCTTCACCGATAGTCCAATACAATTATTTCTAAAGAGATGTTTAATCTCAAATAGATATTTTATTCAAAATTTACATAGGTAAGATAATACATATCCAATATCACTATTTATAATCACAACCTTCTAATTTCACATTTTCAATGCTAATTCCCAATTATTTATACAAAATAATAATTTAACCAAAATTAGGGCAAAATCTCCCTCTTTCCAAATATCAACCCAAACACCAAAATCAACTATTTTGGCACAACATGATCTTATATTCAAGGCTCATACTCAATTACCTCATATTCATCAAAATCTCTCTTTTCATTTCACACTCAAATCCTAGATTTGTCCAAACCATAATCAATTCTCATCATCTATATACAATAGCAAATAACTAAGCTAAAAACCATATTAGAGTGTAGAAATTCCCTACCTCAAGTGTAGAAAACCCAAGCAACAAGGTGGAACTTCAAAGATGACCAAATCAATTACTTATTGGATCAAAACGAAGCTCTTGAAGCCCTTTACCTTATTCTCAAAGACACTAGGGTCAAGAACACAACAGATCTAGATAAAATCTTAGAGAGAAAGTGTATTCTAGAGAGAGAGTATGAAGACCTGCGTTCATGGAGAGTTTTTGAGAGAAAGTGAGCTGCAAAAATGATCTAAAATGACTCATTCACGATCTAATATGAACAGGTTCGCTCGAGCGAAGGAGTTCTCGCTCGAGTGACCAGACACATAAAGGTCTCCTCACTTGAGCGCAAGAAGCGTCGCTCGAGTGTAGAATGAGAAGCTTCAGGTCTGTCACCCAACGCAGACGCACGCTCGAGCGCAAGAAGCCTCACTCGAGCGAAGAACAGATTACCCAAGGCTCGCTCGAGCGCAAGAAGCCTCGCTCGAGCGAAGAAGCCAAAATCTAGGCAACAACCATTCGTACCAAAAGACAACCAACCTATTCCAAACTCGCCCAACAAGTCCCAAAACTCAAATTCGAATAATTAAAGGGAAGAAACAAGATATAGACAACAATATACAATCATGGAACCCGAGTCTGGAACACAATAAAGGTTGAGATAAACCGGGATCGCTATATCTTTTAACCACACATTTTTTTGAAAGGTTAACTTTAACATCTCTTGGATGAAAAATGTTAGAGATTTAAAAAATTTTAATAAATTTTTAAAGATTTTTAGCATTATTTTTCGTGGAATGGTGGTTGAACAGCGACCACAAGTCAAACTGTGTTAAACGTTCAATTTCTTAGCCACCACTTGGATAAGTATATGGGTGGGTCTTGATATAATTCAAAATTCTATATATTCATATTCTCTCAGATTTGATTTGATTTTATTTTATTTTTTAATTTTTTAATTTTTCTTTTCTAAATTAGACTTGACTATGAACCCTCATATAAATGTGTAGACTTGTCTTTAACCACACATTTTTCAGAAAGGCTAGCTTTAATATTTCGTGGACTAGTGGCTGAGTGAATTCGTCAAAGTTCAATTGGTTAGCCACCACTTTAAGAAGTATTTGGGTGGGTTTTGATATAATTTGAAATTCTATTATCCATATTCTCTTTTTAGGAGTACATATTTTTGATCATGATATTTTGTAATTTTTTTTTTTTAACAAAGTTATAAAGTAATTATATTAAAATAAAAATAAACAAGCCACACATTTTTTAGAAGGGAGATGTGCATTGTTTTCTACAGTACACTTGACTTTTCAACCCTCCTATAAATGTGTGTACTTGTCTTTTAACAACACATTTTTTTGAAAGGGAGATTGTGCATTGTTTTCTATAGTGCACTTGACTTTTCAACCTTCATACAAATGTGTAGACTTGTCTTTTAACCACACATTTTTTTGAAGGGTTAACTTTAACATCTCTTGGATGAAAAATGTTAGAGATTTAGAAAATTTTAATAAATTTTTTGAGATTTTTAGCATTGTCTTTCATGGAATAGTGGTTGAACAGCGACCACAAATCAAACTGTGTTAAACGTTCAATTTCTTAGCCACCGCTTGGATAAGTATATGGATGGGTCTTAAGGGTGTACACGGTCCGAATTGGTTCAGTTCTGAGAAAATTCAAGAACCAAATTGATCCTAACAGTTCTGTGATTTTGAGAACCAGACCAGACCATTACACTTGTAAAACCGGACCAGAACCAAACCGAAATAACGGTTCGGTTTTGGTTTGGTTCAAAGTTTCAAAAATTTCTATTTACAAGAATAAATTGTTAATATTAGCAAAATAATTACTCAAACTAATTATATTTAACTCATGATAAAAAACTAATAATATTAAGGCATTACTCAACATTACATATCTATATCATCCGAATATCATTAAAATTACAAAAAACCAATTAATAAAAAATAAAACGCGATATTATATATATATATATCTTCTAAAATTCGGTTCGGTTCGGTTCGGTTCAGTTCAGTTCGAACCGTGGTTTTTTCATAAAATCCATTAACCGAACCGTTTTTACGGTTCTTATATTTCTTAAACCAAAACTGAACCGGTTCTTAATAGAACTGAACCAAACCGTACGGTTCGGTCTGGTTCGGTCTGGATTATTGGTTTAAACAAATTTTTGAACAGCCCTAGTGGGTCTTGATATAATTCAAAATTCTATATATTCATATTCTCTCAGATTTTATTTTAGTTTTCAATTTTTAATTTTTAATTTTTCTTTTCTAAATTAGATTTGACTATGAACCCTCATATAAATGTGTAGACTTGTCTTTAACCACACATTTTTTAGAAGGGCTAGCTTTAATATTTCGTGGACTAGTGGCTGAGTGAATTCGTCAAAGTTCAATTGCTTAGCCACCACTTTAAGAAGTATTTGGGTGGGTTTTGATATAATTCGAAATTCTATTATCCATATTCTCTTTTTAGGAGTACATATTTTTGATCATGATGTATTCTAATTTTTTTTTTTTTTTACAAAGTTATAAAGTAATTATATTAAAATAAAAATAAACAAACATATAGATCAAGAAAAAATAAAAACAGTAAGACTTTAAAGGGTCAAACAAACAACTTAACAAAAACTATAAACAACAAAAATAAAACTACCAAAAAAATAGTTATGATACAAGAAAAATCACAATTTTCTTAAAGATGTGGTTTGGAAAAGTAAGATTTGGATCAAACTAGCCATCGTAGTGGACGTCGTCCCTGAAGCTTACTGGCCAACTTCGCCGCTATCATCGCCGTACTTCAATCACTACCAAAAGTCAGAGTTGAAAAGAAAGAAAACCCATAATAGCATGGAAGGAGGATTTAAAGAAGAGTGAACTATTGTGAGTGTTGAAAATTTAAAATTTTTTGTCGAAATCAAAAAAGAAACTCTCAAACCGTTCTTGTTAACCATAAAAAACTCAAATCTACACTTTGAAAGCGTTTTGGGAGCTAGCCGAAGACATGCCGAAAATTTTATAAAGGGAAGCCGAAAATTGCCTAGAGAGAGAGGCTCTCCAATGCCTCCTCTAGGTTCGATGTTTTGTAATCATTTCATTACAAATTAAGTAATGTGTAATTATGAGTCAGTGTGGTTGCAAGGTCTAAATTTTTTTGAGTTATGAATCATTGTAGTGTTAAATATAATTTATTGTAATTTTTATTTTAGTTACCATGGGATATTAGATTATATCTCAACTGGATCGCCAAAGCTAGGAAGTGTGGTAGCCAAAGCTAGTTGGTGGGAGTAGATAAGGTTAGGATTAACGTTTGAGAAATTAGTAACAAGAACTTAATTGAAATTTTATAATGGGATAAAATTGTAATACAAAAAAATATAAACGGTGGGAGTTTAAAGGGGCAAAAAAAATGGGTGCTATTAGCAATACTCGTTTAGTTATGATTTATTATAATACTTTGGTTATAACTGAAAGTGGTTAGATTATGCAACAAAGTTGTATCAAGACTAAAAAATATCAAAACCTCTCTATAGATGATATATCAAAAAGTAAAGAGACAATAGAATGTTTGACATTTTTGTATAATGGGTTGTTTTGGGAACATTAGCTTTTTGGTTTTTTTGGTCACACCATCTCTCTATTTTTTTACAAAAAAAAAAAAGTTTAAAAAGTCAAAAAGGTCAAAAAAACTAACTTTTTACCATCTTTCCAAAACACCACAATATGCTGACTATTTGACTTTTTAATATTTTTTTGACTTTTAAATTAAATAGTAAATTACCAAACGATATCTAAGTCGTAATTACATATTACTTAACTCATAATTAAAAATTATAAGCTATCATAACCACATATATGGTAATAGAACTTTGATAGGAATGGCCAGGGATTACACTTCTCGTCCCCAATCCCCAAAAGTATAAAATTTTCCGTCCCCACCCTCGATCCCCGGCGAGGAACCCATCACCCCCCCAGCCCCCTAACGGCGATCGGGTTTCCCTGAAAAATCCCCGTACAAAAACAACAACATCATCTGTGTATCTGAGTGTGTGTCACAGAGAGAGAGAGAGAGAGATCTTAGTAAAGAGATAGAGAGAGAAAGAGATCTGAGTAAAGAGAGAGAGAGAGAGAGAGAGAGAGATCTGCTCAAATCTACCATGGCAGGGGGAACCGACGCCAGAGTATGGAGGTTCGGCGACTCTGGCATCACGACAGTAGCAATGGAGCAGAAGAGGAGACAACGGTTTTCTCTCTGATTCGGCGACGGTGTTCTCGCTGATTCAGTGCTCTCTCTCTCTCTCTGTGTGTGTTTTCTCTTTGCTCCCTCCCTCTCTCTGTGTCTTTGCTTTTTGTTTTATTGTCTGATGGTGGATAGAGGGATATATTATGTATATATGAATGGATATAGGGGTATATATGCAATTTCAATTCGGGGGAAACAGGGACTGGGACGGGCTGGGGACGGGCTGAGGCCGGGCTGGAAAATGTATCACTATCTCTGGCTCGAAAATTGTTAGGGATTCATTTTCGAATACCATCCCCGGCCCATCGGAAGTATTTTTCGAGGAAAAACCATTCTAATCGGGGTCAGAGGGTTGGATCCCCGTTGGGCCTGGTTCAAATTGCCATCCCTAAACTTCGAATTTGCAATACTCAAGACAAACCCAAATACTTGGCTAAGCAATTGAACGTTCAACACAGGTTGATTGTGGTCTACACTCAACCACCAATAAATCCATCGGAGTAGTTGTCTGACTTGTCAAACACGAGACGCATTAGCATTGGAGATACTTGAATAAGTCTTACCATTTATATTTTTACTAATATTGTGGCGATACATCACATAATAAATATGATTTCTACTAATATTGTGGTGATACATCAAGAGATTGGCCTAGTAAGCATAATTTGGAGCACTTTTTTTTGCGAGACTAGTCCATATAAGATATATACTTTGACTTTAAATAAGCCCCACAAGTAGACGGCGGAATTGGTTCTCCAAAATTAGTTAAGGTGTGTCACGACCCAAACCCGCCCCTATGGGTTTAGCACCGTAACCGGCCAGTAATCCGAGATTACCAAAGGCCTACTTAACAGTAAATCAGTAATACAAAGTACAGGGGCTGGCAGAAGCCAAAACAGTAATTACGAGATGTCCAATGAACTGTGACAGTCTGTATGCAAAAAGACACTTTTTTTTTAAAAAAACATATTTACATTCAGAACAAACAGTACCATACGTACATATACAAACATTCGGGTTAGGGACCAAATCCCTACCACAACAGTACAGTCCAAGTACACATATCATTCAGTCTATACAGTGCTACAAAACCAGATACAAAAAGGGGAAAACTAAAACACCTCAAAAA